CCCCCCCCCCCCCAGTATTTACCCAGGTTTTCTAAGACAATTGCTTCAGTCCTGTTTCTTCACCAGGGAGAGAGGACTTCATGCCTTGTCTCTGCTGTGGGCAGGCTTTTAGGGGCACATGCTCCTGGGAGACAACTTCTGAAAAGCTCCACCACCTTTCCAAGACCTCAACACCAACAAGAATCACTTGGAAATCCCCTGCCCCAAATCCTTCCATCCAGAGTATATTCTTCTATTCTTTTTTTTCCCCCCCTTTCTCATTAATAAAGGAGTCCCTACTTTAATGATGTTATTTTGCCCATTGGAGATCATGCCTTGGGGCACAGCAAAGTGAAATTCCTGCAATACAACAACAGACATTACGAGACACAATATGAAATAACAACTAACAAGAGAAACCGTGACATGGATTTGGACCAGCATCTCCTCTTTGACTTTGTTTTGGTCACTCGTGCACCTCTCACACCTTCTATCAAGGATACTGCCACATCCACGTCTGCTGAATAGTCCGTAACTACATCAGTACCGGAATCACACCAAGACAGCCGCATCCACACCAGGGGCAGACTGGCCTCACCAACATCTTCTACCAATTCATGGAAGGTTCTGCTCTCTACCCACACCATTAATACTTGGATTATTCGAGGGAGCCCACGGCTGATTATGGTGACACTTTTGTCACCGATGGCTTCGCAGTTCGCCAGGGAGGTGGTGCGTGGCCGGGAGCAGCATCCACCCTAAAACAGCCAACCCATTTCACACCGCTCTACCTTCCACACATTGGGAAGGGCCCACCGCGCCCGAATGCGCACGCACACACACACATACAGAGACAAAAACAATGTACAAAATATTTATTTAGCAGAGGTCTGCTCGCACAGCACACTCAGCAGTCATCTCACCCCGTACACCTCCTGCCAGGGGGGCAACTCAGTTCCCCACCCATCCCGGATTGATCCATGTGCCTCAAACAGACCATCCCTTTGCATCGCAGCACAAAACAAAACGGGGAAGGCAACCGAGGCAAGAAATCCATTCTCTCCCTGAGGAGCATAGGGCCTGTTCCAGTCCCCTGCCCACCAGCAAGCCCAGAACTTGGCAGAAGCCAGGGCTGGCCCAGGGCCACCATCTCAGTCCCAGCCTGGGAATGTCACCACGCCACTCTGGCAAGGCATTTTCCCTTGCTCAGGCAGAAAAGGCACCAAAAAAAGGAGTGTTGCCCTTTCCCACTTGGAAAATCCTCATTCTGTATCAGTTTGGTAGCTTGGGAAAGTCTTGCTGGCGCTGGGGGGAGAGAAGATACATTGGGTGGTCCATCTTTACACCACCACAACTCCCACTTTCAGTACTTCCAGCCTTCATTTACTCCAGAGCAGCAGACCTACCGGCATTCAGGTTTCTTTGGCCAAACCCCGTCCCAGGGAAAGCCTATCCTGTCCCTGTGCCACAGCGCAAGGCACCCATCGTGTCCTCCACATCGCCACTTCCTGGGAGCCCCGACCACTTCCACACCCACAGACCGAGCCCCTCTTAGTGTGGTTCTTTTTTAAAAAAAAATAAAACAAAACCTCAACAAAACCCTGCAGCAGCATCACAGATTCCCTTTTCTAAGTCATTTGCTGGCTCTCTGGCACTTTCTGCTGGATCTCTTCGTACTTGGGCGGTGGGGTCAGCGGCTCTATCGTGATGGGGGCTGTGCTGTTCCCCTCCGAGAGGTTCAGCCTGATGTCCTTCAGGTGCAGCTTCTCCGACTTGATCCTCCGGACCTTCAGCGGCTTCAGGCGCTTGCTGAGACGCGAGTTGTGCCGGCCGGGCTGTTGCTCCATGCTGGGCTCTGGGCCGGCGGCGCCCGGTGGCTGCGTGCCCTCCTCCAGCCCCGTCAGCGACTCGTAGGAGGGCAGGGAGACGCTCATCCTGTTGCTCCTCTCCGAGTCTCTGGGCTGCGAGTAGCCCGTGTTCATCACCTCCTCATAGCTGGGGACGTAGTACTGGGAAGACATGTCTTCGTCCTCTTCTTGACTAGAGGAGAGGGGGGAAACATTAAAGCTATCAATCGCACATCATTTCAGGGGATGGAGAGAAGAGAATAAAAAAACCCCTCCAAAAAAACCCTTACCAACGTATTCCTTTCAGATAAAGAGACCAGATCACAACCCCACCTATATTCAGACAAGTTTTTAATTCCTTGCGCTATTTCCTTTTTTCCTTTCATTTCCTGCCTTTGATCATCATTCCCTTCACCCACAAAACCTCTTTACATGTTGCCCAGCAGTCATTCCTCCACCCAACAAAACACTACCTTCTCCCTCTTGACAAATCACTCTAAATATGTTTGAAAGGGACATCATCACTATCTGTCTCTGCCATTCAGACTTCTTTTGGGTTGGGTCTATCTACCTGGAGTTCTAATGCCTGGAGATTCAGCTGTTCCCTACGTGCCCACCTACACCACAGGTACCTGCACATGCACACTGGCCATTTCTTTAGAGTTATGAAGTTATCTTTAGAATCTAATAGGAAAAAACACTTTACTAGGCGATTTCCACACACAGCGTAACTTCTCAGCAGTCTCCCATGGCACCTCTCCCCCGCAGCACTCCCTAGGCAGCAGCCAGTGTCCCCTCCTGCCACCTCCTACCCCTCTGTCCGATGTCCCCCTGCCCTCTCCCTGCACAGACGAGCAGAGGAAATGGTCTGAAGTTGCAGCAGGGAAGGTTTAGATTAGATATCAGAAGAATTACTTTACTGAGAGAGTGGGCAGGCACTGGAACAGCCTGCCCAGGGAGGTGGTGGAGTCACCATCCCTGGAGGTATTTAGAAAATGTGTAGCCATGGCACTTCAGGGCATGTTCTAGTGCTTGAGATTGTTGGTGTGTGTCTGTTTGTGGGTTTTTTTCTTGGCTTGGTTTTTTTATTTGTGGTTGGACTCGATGATCTCAAAGGTCCGTTCCAACCACGAAGATTCTGTGACTCCATGACTGTACCAATTCCCCAGGCTGCCGGGACTTCTCCTGCGCCCTGTGTGTGTTCAGATGTGGCTGCCACAGCAGCAGCCACCTTTGCTCCGCCGGTTGGAGTTCCCTGAGCAAACTGGAGAGCCCCGCAGCCTTCCACCAGGTCGAAACTCCCATTTTCCAGCTGTAGCCTTCCTCCGGCTGCACCCAGCAAGTCTGCACACCCCGCAGCTCCTGCTCCCCTCCCTCCGGAGCCCCTCACCCGCCTTCTGGCACCAATCCTGCTCCTATACGTTAACCATTAACCTCCGCCACCAGTGTTACCTCTCCCCACGCTGCCTCCGCACCCACCACCAAGGCAGGAGTGGCACATCCCAGCAGCGCTGCCTCGGCCACGGCTCCATCCAGACCCCTTCAGCACATACACAAACAAGGCTTCCTTTCACCATAAATACAGCTGGAGACATTCCTTCCTGACCTCTAAAGGGTCTTTGAACCCTAAACCACCAGATGTTCTTGCCCTTATTTTAGCAAACATTGCTATCAGCCTTCCTCTCTTTGCTCCTGACCTCCTCGAGGAGGAATAATATTTCTTAGTTTCATTCCTCCGCTCGATCCCTCTCCCTTTTTCCCCCAAAAAGGCTCACCTGTCCTCCTGGTGCGAGGGCTCTACAGATGCTTGGTGCTGGATGTGAGGGATGTCCTCGCTTTGCCTCTTCTTGTCCCGGATGTTCAGGCAGATGGAGAGCAGCAGCAGCAGCACGCCTGCTCCCACCAACACGTACGCCACCGAGAAGGTCTTGCTCTTCAGAATTCCCCCGGTGCCACGATCAGGCTTGCTGCTGTTGCCGGCATGGGTGGCAGGTTTGTCAGCGGGGCCGAAGCCAGGGACGAGGTTCCAGACGGCCATGATGATGCCCAGGACCAGCATCCCCAGCCCGATGGCCGTCAGGGCATAGTGAGAGCCATTGGTCCGAGACTGGGCCATCGCTCCCGCTGTTGGCCGGCCACTGGCCGGGCTGCCCCCACCTTACAGCAGGGCTGGGCTCGGGAGGGCTGCGGTCCGGCTAGCATGCGTGCGGTCCCCTCCCCGGGCAGGCAGCGAGCTCTGGGAAGAGAGGGAAAGCGATGGTTAGTGCCCGGTGGGATGCAAAGGACTCAAAGCCTTTGAAAGACTGAGGGACTTGGGTCTTTTTAGTCTAGAGAAGACAAGGCTCAGGGGGGATCTGATCAACGCCTATAAATACTTAAAGGGTGGGTGTCAAGAGGATGGAGTGGTCTTTTCTCAGTGGTGCCCAGGGATAGGACAAGAGGAAATGGGCACAAACTCGAGTATAAGAAGTTCCACCTCAACATGAGGAGGAACTTCTTAACTTGGAGGGTGACAGAGCCCAGGAAGAGGCTGCATGGAGAGGTGGTGGAGTCTCCTTCTCTGGAGACGTTCAAAACCCGCCTGGACAAGTTCCTGTGGGACCTGCTCTGGGTGACCCTGCTTTGGCAGGGGGTTGGACTAGATGATTTCCAGAGGTCCCTTCCAACCCCTGTGATTCTGGTGGCCATGATAATGGAATCATGAAATCATGGAATTGTCGAAGTTGGAAGGGACTTCTAGGAATCATCCAGTCCACCTCCCCTGCCAAAGCAGGGTTGCCCAGAGCACATCACTCAGGACGGCATCCAGGCGGGGCCTGAAGATCTCCAGAGAAGGGGACTCCACACCCTCCCTGGGCAGCCTCTTCCAGGGCTCTGCCACCCTACCCGAAAGAAGTTCTTCCTTGTATTTGAATACAATTTCCCATGTTCCCATTGCCCCTCGTCCTACTGCTGGAAACCACTGAAAAGAGTTCAGGTCCATTATCCTTCAAATTATCCCTAACACGTTTTATGCCACTAATGCTGGAAATCTAATTCTGGCACGCCATCACACGGCAGCAGGATCCTTGCTGGCCCTTCTCATTGTGGCCCTTTGCTGCTTTCTCGGCTGTAATATCCATCCACTTTAGGAAAGAACTGAATCACTAACATTTGCTAAGGAATTAGCTGACCCAACCCTAGGAGCATGACAACCAACCTCCTCAAAGCACCCCAAAAAATGCCACCAAAAATAATTTGACTGCTTATAGAGATGCTCCCTGCTGTAGGGAGCTGTGCTGCCTTGGACAAACCATCTCTTCCAGGGCAAACCACTGTGAAACCCATCTCTGCCTGTACAACTTCTCTGCAGCAGGGTCGCTGGCAATGCTGGCTGCCTACCCTGCAATGCCTCCCTGCCCGGAGAAGAGAAAGCAAAACTGCCCTTCTCCCAGCAAAACCAACCCTGCTGCTTCCCCCCAGCGCTGCCAGCACGGGCTGTTGCCACAGTAAGCCCTCACCACAGCCCCTGCCTTGATTCTGGCCAGCATTTGCCCACCCCGGAGTCACACATGATGGTGGTGAGTCCCCTTGGCTGCATCCCAGGGACTACATATGGCTTGGAGACAAGCCAGCATCCCTGTTCCTCACCAGTGGGGCCATGGCTGGGAACTTCTCCTCCACCACCTCCACTAAACATCTGTATTTTCTGCGTCTCCAGGACCAGCTTTCCAAAAATCCTCCTGTGGAAGCGCATCTCCTGGTTGCTCACTGCCCTGACCTCAGATGGCAAAGAACTGGGATCCCTGCAGCAAATCTGCCCCATCTCCACCCCAGCAGCCTCCCAAGTCCTACGCGTGTGCCCAAACCAGCGTGCAGCTGTGCACACATGCCAGGGTTTCCTCCTTTCCTCCCTGGCCCCGGCTTCTTGATACTTGTTTGTACTCAAAGTCAGCCCTCAGATGCGCTGCTCTCTCCACACTCACCCTCACCCTCTAGTTCCACAGTCTCCAGCTGCATGTCTGCTTGTTTATCTCCAGCGCAAGCCCAGTCCACAGGGTCAAGGGCCAGAATAAACCAGCATTCCCAGAAAACACACCAGCTCCAGCTGCTTGCAGGAAAAGACATGCACGCAAGAGAGAGAGAGGAGAGAGGAGAGAGGAGAGAGGAGAGAGGAGAGAAAACCTCTGAGCAACTTCTCCATCGCAGCCCATGCCCTGGCATAGCTTCGGGGGGGGCCACCAAGGGATGACACAGCCCTGGCCCCACATCATGGTTCCTGGTGCTCACGTGGATCTAGACTGGTCAAAGTCTGCGCTTTCAAGGTCCTTCTGGGGTTATTGGGGGAAAAAAAAAAAACAAACTGCCAAGCCCTGCCCGACGGGAGCTGCTGGCAGGCAGGCAGGGACAAGCCTGCTGTACCCCACAGCACAGCTCACTGCTGCCGTCTGCCCCTTGGAAAAGACATCCCCAGCCCCCCCTCAACCTGCCCCCCGCTTGAATTCAGTCTGAGCAAGCAGCTGCTGAGGATGCAGCAAACTCGACATCCCAAAGGTCCTCACCAACATCCCGAGAGCCATCGCAGCCCAGCAGCACATCCTACCTGAGCGCTTCTGGCCCCGGCAGCAGCCCCTGCCCTCCCACACAAAGTCTTCACTCTCTGCCTGCCCTCGCCTCACTGTGCCCTGCCTGTCCCTGCCAGCAGGGCACGGAGCCTGGCTGGGATGGGTGACACCAATGCAGATGCGTGTCTGCATCCCACGTTTCCCAAACAGCCCCCTCTGCTCCCCAGGGCGCCTGCAATGCCAGCTCACGGCACATTCACTGCCCTTCGCGGGCCCAGAACATCGTGCAGGAGGTAAATTACACCACAACTCTTCTTCCTTCATCCACCCTCTGCTGCATCGAGTCCCTGTTTCCAGTTGCACTGGTGATGCCCAAGCTTCTGGCGAGAACCACGGAGGCTCTGATTTATAGCCACCCCTGCTTCTCATTTGGGGTCTTCTATTTAGCTACATGGGTGGCTGCTGGTTTTTTTTTCTTAACCATTTCAGGGAATCATGGAATTGTCAGAGTTGGAAGGGACCTTCTAGGGATCATCCAGTCCACCTCCCCTGCCAAAGCCGCGTTGCCCAGAGCACATCACTCAGGAGCATCCAGGCAGGGCTTGAAGATCTCCAGAGAAGGGGACTCCACACCCTCCCTGGGCAGCCTCTTCCAGGGCTCTGCCATCCTCACCCAAAAGAAGTTCTTCCTCAGATTTGAGTGGAACTTCCCATTATCTTGGTTGCCCTACGCTGGACTCTCTCCAGTAGTTCCCTGTCTCTCTTGAACTGGGGAGCCCAGAACTGGACTCAGTATTTATCCAAATGAGCTCCCATCCCTACGCTGTTTGGCAAGGTGCTTCACAAACAGATACTGGCCAGCTGAGATTTCCCTTGCAAACTGCTCTGAGGGGTTGGCTGCAGGGAAATTGTGCTGTACAGGTGGTGTACATGCAGGGCTGGCAACCTTCACCCCTGGGGTCTAAACCTCCCTGTCCATTCCCAATCTCCTCACCTTCCCTTGGGCACCTCCTCCCTGGAAGCGGAGAGGATTTAAAGCTTCTACATCAGCCCTGTGCCTGAAAGTTTGACGCACATCCCTCGCTGTGCTGCCCTGCAGCCCAGGAAAATCAGATTAAAGCAGGAGACTTGCCACACAAGTCTGTCTCTCCATTGAATTAGCCCTTCTTTTGGCTTTCCAGAGCTCACTCCTATCTCTGCTTTAGCAATAACCCCTGTCCCTGACGTCAGTGGTCAGAAAAAGGAGCTGCTGCTATCTCTGTCTCAGGTCCAAAATCTCTGTCGCTGTCTGGAGTGGCAGAGGGTCAGCACGGAGAAAGGGGGCCACAAATGCAAGGTTTAGGGAAGCCCCAAAACAACCCCCAAATCGCCCCAAAAATCTTGCTGTGGTCAGTAGCACATCTCCAAGGTGGCATCTACTGTGGCCATCCTGAGCAGAACGAACACACACATACAGCGCTGTCCCCCCTGGTCCAGCAACACAGAAACCCCCTGCTCTGTGGTTACACTGGTTTAATAGTCCTCGAGGGATTTTTTCCTCCACCTGGAACACTGCATCCAGCTCTGGAGTCCTCAGCACAAGGACATGGACCTGTTGGACAATGGGTCCAGAGGAGGCCACAAGGATGCTGCAAGGGGCTGGAACCCCTCTGCTGTCAGGACAGGCTGAGAGAGTTGGGGGGTTCAGCCTGGAGAAGAGAAGGCTCCAGGGAGACCTTAGAGCCCCTTCCAGTCCCTCAAGGGGCTCCAGGAGAGATGGGGAGGGACTCGTGATCAGGGAGGGGAGCCATAAGAGGAGGGGGAAGGGTTTGACACTGAAAGAGGGGAGACTGAGCTGAGATCTGGGGAAGAGGTTCTCTGGTGTGAGGGTGGTGAGAGCCTGGCCCAGGTTGCCCAGAGAAGCTGTGGCTGCCCCATCCCTGGAGGGGTTCAAGGGCAGGCTGGAGGGGGCTTGGAGCGAGCTGATCTGGTGGGAGGTGTCCCTGCCCAGGGCAGGGGGTGGCACTGGATGGGCTTTAAGGTCCCTTCCAACCCAAACCACACTATGATTTCCCCTGATTTGTTTACCAAAACCGCTGCCCAAGTGCTCTCCTCTGGCGCAAAGCCCCCAGCACCCGACTCACACTCTGTCCTGACACCATGTCGCACGAGCCCCATCCCTTCTCGCCCCACCAAGCTCCCCAGCACCACAGAGCTGCAGCTCCCATTGGCAACCTTATCCTCCCATCACACAGGCGAATGGTGGCCAAGTGCTCCAGCCCCGCTTCTCCTTCCCTCCAGCCGCAGCATGAGGTCTTCCCTGTGCCACCTTTGTCCCGGTCCCACACACACCTGCAGCACTGGGCTGGCAATGATTTACACCAGGATCTCCGAACCATTAAACTCCACCAGCGCCGCAGCAAACCTGGGGTGGTGGGGGGGCACCTACGACTCCTCCCCCACTCAGTGGGGCTTCCTGCACCTCTCAGCGGATCCCAGAGCCAAGGGATGCTTTGTGACTTGTTCTCTTGGGACGCTTCCAACTGTTATTTCGGCATGGGAGGGCTCAGGATAAGCCCCTTCCTCGGGCACGACACCCCAACACGCCTAGGGCTTTGAGCAACCTGCTCTAGTGAAAGGTGTCCCTGCCCATGGCAGGGGGGTTGGAACTAGATGATCTTTAAGGTCCTTTCCAACCCAAGCTGTTCTATGA